CTGCAATGACAGAAACTGTGAATGCATATACATTCATTCATGTGAGTATGTAGGTTGTGATGGACCTGTATGTTTTTATAAATGTTTAAAATAAACATTCTTTGTGTACTCATCACCTAGTATACTTAATGTGTCTCTAGACCAGGGATACTGAACTTATTTATTATGAGGGCCGGATCTGACATAAATGAGACCTTGTTGGGCCGGGCCATGTATGTCATAAAATGTAATGTCAGGTAGCAGAGATGTAAACTTTATAAAGGACACAAACACAATTAAAGATTTTTAACAGTCTCTGATAACTGACACCTCTTGCTCTGAATTATTGCATTAAAATGTCTGTGCTGTAGCAATCTTGAATATGCTGTTCAGGTGTGTATCTGTAAGCTGCATGCCTACTTTTGATTTATTGACATTCATTACAGAAATCTCATGCTCAGTGTTCTGAGCCTGGGACCCATGGGAAAACATGAAATGGCTGGGCATTGCGAGCTTTTGTACATAAATTGCTTCGTGTGCTGGTCAAGAACATGAGAAGGGATCCTGACACAGACTGAGGGCTATGTGTTTGTCTACAAAACTATAGTCTTCCCCGAAGAAATAACTGCAACTCCTATGAGGCAGTCAGGGCCAGCCCCAGTTTTTTGTGTGCACTAGGCGAGGCTAAGTTGTGGCACCCCCCCCTAGGTGAGGCTGCCTTGTGGCACCCCCCCCCACTGTAGTCACAGACCCTCCGAGGGGCCAGTCCCTAAGGTGGCTGGAGGGCAGGGCATGGAGCCTGGGGGACTCAGAGTGGGAACAGCTGCCTCCCTGAAGAGAGCCGCGCTCTGGAAGCAGACCTGCCCCCGAGCCCACCTGCCCGGCTCTCCCCTCACAGGAGCTTGGGTGACAAGGGGATGCGGCTTCCTGGATGGGGGGCAGCTGTGCATTTTCCTCACCAGAGTCCCCGTCTCCATTCAACCCAGCCTGGAGCCAGGGCAGGACTGCCAGCATTCCTCTGGGTGGGCAGGTGAGTGGGATGTGGCCCGCAGGGGGGCTGTTTTGGATTGCCAGGCATTAGAGGGAAAGACTCACGTGGGACACTGTCGCCTGCCACCCCTCTGGTGAGGCCGGTCAGAGGCTGCTTTGCCTGTTGCTTTGCCGAGTCCAGAGCCAGCCAGAGCAAGCCTCCTTCCCCCGGTGTCTTCTTGGCTTCACACTCTCCACCCTGATGCTCCTGCTTGCTGCCACTGCCGCCAGCCGCTCCCTCTCTCTCTTCCTTTGGGTGGCCTGCTGTGCTGCCGGGCACTGAGTGGAGCCCATGGCTTCCCCATCGTGGTGGCAGTGCCCCCTCTTGGGGTGTGTGTGCTCGGATCACAGGCCGGTGCCCTTGTCGTCGGGCTGGCACCCTAGGCAAGAGTCTAAAATTTGACAATGACGGGCCGGCCCTGGAGGCAGTGCAAGAATAGACAGACAGCAATGTATAGTGGTCAGTATCAGCCTGCTATCTGGGAAGTCTTGGTTTAAAATCTCCAGTCTGCAAAGGAAATGTGCTGGGTGAACCTGGTATGGACGCAGTCTCAGCCTAATCCACCTCACTGGCTTGTTATTCCTCATCTAAATAGTTCAGATTGCTTTCCTACTGAGATAGAGTGGATCATGAGGGCATGAATACAGTGAAAAGGGGAAGGGAACCCAGTTGCACCCAGGAGAGCCACAACATAAGAAGCCCAACGAAACACACACACTGTAGCAAGGCACACAAAAGCTCATACCTTGGATAAATACAAAGTTGCTTTGTATTTCTCCTGTGTGATTGAGGCAGCTGAGTAAAGCAAGGCAGGAGGAAGGGGAGGAGCCTCAGCCAATGGAGGGGAAGGCTTTGTTTATCTCCTGTGTGATTGAGGCAGCCTGGCCAGAAAGCAAGCTCTGGCTCATTCCCTCCCTCCCCCTGGGAGGAGAAGGGGGAGGAGCCTCAGCCAGTGCAGGGAACAGAGGCTTGCCTGTCTATCTTTCCTGTGCGATTGAGAGAGTCAGGTAAAGTAAGCTGCAAGACAGCAGCAGAACTGGAGAAAGAAGCAGGAGACAGCCAGTTCCTTGAAGGCTGGATCGGAGTCCTCCGAGGGCCTGATCCGGACCTTGGGCTACATGTTTGAGAACCCTCCTCTAGATGTAGTACAAGACAATGCTAAGTATACTTTAGATTACTGGTAAATCTCTGCAAGTCATGCTCAACTGAAGGTAAATCTCTGCAATTCATATACAGCTGAAGGTAAAGTTTGGTGGGTACACAAGAGAGGGCCTTTTCGGTGGCAGCCCTGCAATTATAGAACAACAGCCCCAGGGAGGTTTGCCTGGCCCCCTCACTGTCAGTCTTCAGGAAGCAATTGAAGGCAGTTTTATTTATATATAAATCTGATTGGTTTAACTTTTATTATTGGCAGTCCTAATAGGAGTTTTTAAATTATGACTTTTAATGGGTTTTATAATTCTTGTTTTCATTGTGTTTTTATAATGTTACTTATTATTTACTGATATTGTAAGCTGTTTTGAGTTCTGCAAGGGAGAAAGGCCGCTAATAAATGTTTTAAATACCTAATTAAAAAAATGTTTTTTAAAAAACATTTAATAATGTTTTAAATACCTAAATTATGCATACACAGTATACAGGAATAATTTGTGACAGCATAACCCGAACCATTCATTTCGTAGTGTTATACAAATTAATATCCAGTCAAAAATAGAAGATTGAAATCAAAATGATGAGGAAGATCTTGTATTTTATTGCAATGAAATACGGAAAACAGTTAGGCCAAAGGACCCATCGAAGTTGACTGCTTTCTGAGCCCAATCAGGAAATACATGAAGTTAAATACTTAATATGACATCATCATACCATCATCATGAAAATAATATTCAGAAGGCATAATTGGTTACGGAAAATTAAACAACATTTACATAAAAATCTCCTTATTGGTTAAATGTAAGAAAGGTGTGTCTATACCATAGTGTCACATATTTACTTGACCTGACCTAAGTCGTATCAGCCAAGGCTTGTTCTCACTCAAACAAAGGTGTTTTTCTCTGATACCAAGTAAAAGATCCTTTTTGACCCAGACACTATGAAGTTGTAACCTAAACAATTAGAACCATGAACCTTCTACCTTCTTCTGTACCAAAAGAATGTTATTGTCTTGTCTGTTAACATCAGTTGGAAAAGTACCCTGACCCACAAAGAAGAGAGGCCTTCTATATAACAGGCCTTCATTACATTCCAATAAAATGTTAAATCTATAATAAATCTATAAAAACCAGAGAAATATTAATAATCAAAAAAAAGGAAAATCAATATAGTCCCATCTCTACTATAGTAGATCTAGCTTCTGCTTTTCTCTGAAGTTTGTTTGTTAAATCAGTGATGAGAAGCAGATCAGTTGTTCACCAATAATTTAAAAGTAGGGTTGCCAAGTCCTACCTTCATCTGGAGCGGGGGACTCCCGTTTTGCTCCCGGAGTGTGCGCCCCGCATCCACGTCACCCGGAAGTGACGCGACCAAGCAGGGGCGGGGCCACGACCATCTGAGGGAAAACCACAGAGTTTTCCCTCGGATGACCGTGGCCCCACCCCCAGCGTGCCCAGTGTGGTCGAGTCACTTCCGGGTGACGTGCACGTCACGTACTTTGGGGGTGGGGTTCCCCCCGGGGCCCGATCCGCCGGCGGCGGGGAATGGGCCTCTGGGGCGGGGTTTTCCCTGCCCCCCGGGGGGACTTGGCAAGCCTATTTAAAAGCCTACCACATTTCAATATTTTGTGTTTACACTCAGTTTAATTTTTTTATAATGGTAGCAAACGTTACATAAGACATGAGTCTTATGCAAAATAGAGGCCTCAAATTAAGGTTAGTGTATAGCCCCCCGTAGTGGAAATCATAGGACTGGATCCAGCAGAAAAGCTTGCAAAAGGAGTTGGTGGATCAAATCTTTCCCTGTCTTTTCATTCCCCTAGTAGCCAACTGTTTGTCTTTCTTTCACAGTGCAGAAAGAATTGGTGAAATCCTTTCCTCTGCTCCCTTCTACTAGTGGCATGTGTCAGCAGATCCGAAAGGTGCAGGAGATTTCACTCAGTTGCACCTTCTTTGCTGCATTCCTCATACTGTGCTACATTTTGTTGATGAGGCCCTCTCAGATTTTTTTTGAGAAGAAGCGGGGGGGGGGGGGGGAAGGATCTGCCCTGCCAAGTCCATCTGTGAGTTTCTTTTTGCTGGAATAAAGCAATACACTTGAAAATCCAAGCATTGGGTGTCCTAAAGGTATCCAAGCTAGAAAATAGTGGCCAAATCCTGACCATTTTAAAACATTTCAAATATTTAAGGTATGAATATAAGATGTATCAATTTAGGGCTAATTCCTAGAATAAAAATGTTTAGTAAAAGAACATAACAAAAGTTCCTTTGGATGAGACCAAAGCTTGGTCTGGTCCAGTATCTTGTTTCTAACAGTAGCAAACCAGATACCCACAAGTAGGACATAAAGGCAATAACCCTTCTCCACTTTTACAGCCTCCCACTCCCAGCAAGTGATGTTCAGAAACATACGACCTCTGAAAATGGAGATTCTGCTTAGTTACCATCATTGATAGTCATTAGTAATCTGTGGCCATCTAAGCTAAGTTTTCACTGCATCTTGTAAGTTATGAGCAAATTATGTGAAGAATAACTTTGTTCTGTCTATCCCGAATCTACTGCCCAGATGTTTAACTAGAAGTAATATCAGTAGGTGCCCTGACCTGGATGGCCCAGACTAGTCCTGTATTATCCAATCTTGGAAGCTAAATGGTTAGTGCTTGGATGGGAGACCACAGCACTTTCCACCACCAATTTCAGTAGTATCATCTGTTGCTTATCTTCTGCAGCGTTCCAGGAGTTAATCGGCAAGTAATGTTTGTACAACCAAAATGACACGTTCCTAAAGAGGCTGGCTTCCTGTCTTTCTTTATTTGAAATTAATTTTATATGTTTTTCAGTGAATACAGTGGAGAGACTTTACAAGGGCCAGCTTATGGTCCCACTAGTCATGCTTCCTCATCATCTTCAACGCCTTCTTCATCGTCTGCATTTCGCCATGTAGTGCCATCCAGACAAATAGTGGAGAGACAGCCACGAATGCTCGATTTCAGGGTAGAGTACAGAGACCGAAATGTGGATGTGGTACTTGAAGACAGTTCTACAGTTGGTAAGATTGATTGTAGAATTTCTTTTACAGAATTTACAGAATAGAATTTTCTATTACAGAAGTAAATGTTTGTGTGTGGGGGCGAGGGTTGCCATGTGTCAGTGGCAGAGCACATGTTTTGCATGCAGGAGGTCTCAAATTCAATCCCTGGCACCTCCAGTTACAAGGATCAGGTAGTAGATGATGAAGTATACCAGTATACTGGAGAGCTGCTGCCATTCGAGTGGTACTGACCTCAGTGGATATTCATAAGATAATGTTTTTAAATGGCCTGTGATAAGCCAGTAAGATTCCAGTGGTTACTTCCTTACCTGGGTCATCAGTCAGATTCCCTGGTAATAAAAAAATTAAGTTTTAAGTAGAAATAGCATCAACATTTATTTGGACACCCAGCCCCCCAACCAAATATGTATATATACTTAATAAATAACAACAACAACAACAACAACAAACAACAACAACAACAATAATGCTTTCGATTTATTAATCGCTTTCCCCACAAGTGGGCTCAAAGTGATTTACAGTTACTTTTTAGACAGGGGACTAACAATGTTTCATAGGGGATAGGGAAGACAACATATAATTCATTTTAACTGCCCACGCCGTAACTGCATGGTGGAAACATTTCTGGCTTGGCTCAGTCATGTCCCGAACGGCTGCGTCAACCGGCTTGATGACGTTGGGGCTTCAGGACCCGTATGTCGTGTCGCCACACTGCCACCGCCTGGCCGGAGCATCCCACTACAGGGATTTTTCGTAGCCAAGTAGATTCTTCCACCTTCCGGATCCTGGACCAGGACGTCCCCAACCGATAGCTAACACCTTCCCAGAGGGGAGTTGGTGTGCCCACCCTCTCTTAGGAGTGGTTCCCATTTTATCTACTCGCCAAGGCTTTCGAATCGCTGGGTGGACGATGTCGACTTAGTCAGTAAAAGGCTGTTAGTAAGATAAGGCTCTACTTCACCTCAGCCAGTACTTGCCCTGCTTAATAATGGATGGACATTGGACTTTCAGGTTCCTTGTGGTCCTGAGGTACATGGTCTTCCCTGTGCTGAGGCATTCTACCCATCCCCTCACAGGTGCTGCTACTGATCTTCTAGACCCTTCTTAGGCTGAGAGCCAGTTTGGTGTAGTGGTTAAGTGTGCAGACTCTAATCTGGGAGAACTGGGTTTGATTCCCCACTCCTCCACTTGTAGCTGCTGGATGACCTTGGGCAAGCCATAGTTCTGGCAGAACTGTTCTCTCAAGGACAGTTCTTGAAAGAGCTCTCTCAGCCCCACCTACCTCACAGGGTATCTGTTGTAAGGAGGGGAAGGGAAAGGAATTTGTAAGCCACTCTGAGACTTTGTGTGAAGGGCGGGGTATAAATCCAATCTCTTCTTCTCCTCCTCCTCCTTTCCTGCCTCTTCCTGGGTTGGGAATCTTTCTCCTTGTCTTCAGCCTCTCATTCATCCAGCTCTTGGCAGGCCTTATTTGGTGGTTATCTACATTTCTACTGTCTATGTATCTTTTGCCTTCCAACCACTGGCCAGTTCTGTTTCAGCTATACGTTAGCTTCCTTTATACGTGCTGAGAAGGTTCTTGTGAATCAGCTGCTGACACCGTTATGTCTTGTTCGATCTGCCTTTTAAAAATTCTTTTATTACGTCTCTTATTTCCTGAACTGTAATCTTGCCCTCTAGTACATCTTTCCCTTCTTTCTCCAAGTGTAGATGTGAGGAACCCTTCTCAGGTAAAGGGAACCTCAGGTGCCCAAACCTTTCCCGACAGGTATGAAAGAATGGCACCAATAGCAGGGTTTAAAAATGAAATAAGAGGAACGATTTATTTGACTGAAAGGCAGGGGAATGGGGAACAGTTTTATGGGAACAAACAGTTGGCAACCAACAAGTGCCCGCTACAAACACTATAAACAATGTTTAGGCTTTCCCAAATTCAGGAAGAACTAATAAAAATTACAAACCCTATCAGAAGGTTCCTTACAATAAGCAGGCAGTTGTGATACTAGTGAATTTATACCACCAATAAACCAGGGTTCCCCTGATTAGGCTCTGAATCCCAACTAGTCCCTGTGTGAGTGGATGTCTTTCTTTTTTTAAACCTGGGTCTGACCTGTTACTCTGGACAATCACTTCAGCAGAGTCTGCGCTGCCCCTCTCTCTGGGACATCCTGTCACTGTCTCCCAGACTGAGTGTTTTCTCTCTGAAGGCAGCCACTCAAAAGGCCCCCTCCTCCATTAAATTCCCTCGTTCCAAAAAAGAACCCCCAACCCCCCTTCCAACTGTCAGCTCTCATTCCCCCCCAGCCCCCTGCTGGATGCATTCCATTCTCATGGAAGCGACTCACCAATCAGAGTGAGCCTGTGCTACTACTTCTCCTCAGAGTGTTTTTTCATAGTTCATCACAGTAGACTAGTTGTCTCCTGAAACTCTATTGTGGTCTTTTTCTTATATAAATTTTTATAAAAGTTCTCAAAAGCCCTAATGATTTCCTTGGGACTTTGTGTTGTGTTATTATTGATTTTTATACTTCTAACCGTCTGTTTTGCTTTTTTGATCTTCAGATAGTTTGCCAATCTTTTCGCTGTGTTGATGCTATTCCTCTGGAAGTCGTTCCTTACCATAATTTCCTTTTTCCAAATTGTTGCTATGTCTAATGCTTCCAATTGTTTTTGAATCTCTTTGATTTTGCTCTGTAAAATAGGGCTATAATTTTCCTTTTGTTCCCTTTGTAAATTCTCTAATTCCTGGAGTTTGATTTGTCATTTGTATACCATTCTCTTTTTATGCTCTTTTCTTTCTTTATACAATGGCCCCTTATTACCGCTTTAGCAGCATCCCATAGTATATTAGTGGGCACCGTTCCTCTATTTTCCTTGAAATATAGTTTTATCTGTGTTGTCATATATTTCCTGTCCTCTTCTTTTGCCATTATTAAGTTATTGTATCTCCAGGGTCTATTTGTTGTGGGTAGTTTTAACTCCAGTTCAATACTTATAGGAGCGTAGTCAGATACCCAGATTGGAAAGGTTGTAATCTCTTTTATAGACATTTTTTCCAAGATTATATAATCTATGCATGACGCCATTTTGTGCCTACCGGATATATGTGTAGGTCTAGGTCTTGTGCCTGTAAACTCATGCGCTTCTTTCAGGCCCCATTCTCCTAGCTTAATGCTTTTATTCTTTGTTATGTCAATATTTAGATCCCCTGCTACAATTAATTCTCCCTCTGAGAATTGTTGAATTTTCTTAAGGACCTTAGTTAGAAATTTCTTTTGCTTTTTGTTTGGTGTG